AAAGGCGTTGAGGCTCCTCAGGCTGAACAACCTGTGGACCAGAGGAAGCACACCCCTCAGGCCAGTGAGAACATTGAAGCCTCCCAGGCTGAGCAACCTGTCGAAGGGAACGACGAAGTTTTCCAGCCCACCGGATGGACTTGTGAGAAATGTGGCGAGCCCAACAAAGCCCAGCGCGCCGCTTGATCTTAAAGTTAGCTGAGTTAGCTGTTAGCTGCATTTCGACTGGCCCGCAGCCCAAGATCCTACATTAAGGGAAGCTATCTGTGGATTGAGTCGCTCGTTGTGGAGAGGTATGTCACAAAACGCTTGATACGCAAGTACTGAGGAACAGTGCAACAACTGTGGCACTTCGAGGGCAAAAGCTGCAGCTCCTACGGCTGCAGATGGCATTTGAAAGCAAGTCTCTCCCTTGTCTCATCAGCCAGCTCCATATCAACACACATTGGTTGGTGGATACCCCTAGCAGCTTACTATATATGCCTCAGTCGCCTTAGGTTGGATATGCGGGTCATGTTTATTCCAAATAAAGTGAGTCACGTGGGCCCAACTGAAGTGTGTGTGTGTGTGTGATCTTCACCAACATAGGGTGGTTCGTGTGTTGCAGGCTCTTGAACTTGTTTGCGTGATACCATTTTGCCGTTGGTTTTGACACTTGGCTGCTGTCATTCGCCAGAAACCTTTTGACAGGGACATGCAGACTCAGACTGGCATCGAGTTTGGCATGCGGCACTCTCCCCTTCGTGTGCACACACTTATAGTTACACACTCCGAATCACTAACGAAGTAGGTGGTTTTCCACAGGGTATATGCCAAAGAATCCCAAGTAATATCCTAATGGATGTACTGCCTCTGAGGCGCCGCCTCCCGAACGACACTCGGCTGCCTTAGTCAACTACGGAGGTACGACGTGGAAAGGCTGTCCATCGTGTCCAACGAGCACCGAAGAAAAGGGACTTCGGTTCGAAGAAATGAATTTTGCATTGAGTAATGATTTTTAATGATATGTTCTCACTTGAGAAGAAAATGGACTAAATCCAGGTACGAGTTTTGAGGAGTCAGTCTTCGAACAGCATGGAGTTCTTTGGGAGGACGTTCTTGCCCCGAGGATGGGTTTGCCCAGCCTGTGATGAGCCCAACAAGGGGGAAAGGACGGTTTGCAACAGCTCCCCGGATGCATCAAGGAGTTTTCGTGGTTT